ACTGGCCAGCAAACTCACCAGACCTGAACCCCATAGAGAATCTATGGGGTATTGTCAAGAGGAAGATGAGAGACACCAGACCCAACAATGCAGATTACCTGAAGGCCGCTATCAAAGCAACCTGGGCTTCCATACCACCTCAGCAGTGCCACAAACTGATCACCTCCATGCCACGCTGAATTGAGGCAGTAATTAAAGCAAAAGGAGCCCCTACCAAGTATTGAGTACATGTACAGTAAATGAACATACTTTCCAGAAGGCCAACAATTCACTAAAAATGTTTTTTTTATTGGTCTTATGAATTATTCTAATTTGTTGAGATAGTGAATTGGTGGGTTTTTGTTAAATGTGAGCCAAAATCATCACAATTAAAAGAACCAAAGACTTGAACCACTTCAGTCTGTGTGCATTGAATTTATTTAATACACGAGTTTCACAATTTGAGTTGAATTACTGAAATAAATGAACTTTTCCACGACATTCTAATTGATTGAGATGCACCTGTATATATGCCTATTTATAAAGAATGGCTTGTTGTATTCCTCATTTGTAAGCCACTTTTGATAAAATTGTCTGCTATATATAAATTACAGGCCTCTCTCATCTTTTTAAGTGGGAGAACTTGCACAATTGGTGGCTGACTAAATACTTTTTTGCCCCACTGTATATATATATATAGAGAGAGAGAGAGATATATATATATTAATCTCTGTAACCTTTTTTTTTTTCACCTTATGCTCCACAGAGTTTGTCCGAATGATGTCTCGCTAACTTAGAAGACTAGTGAAAAAAGGAGAGAACAACCAGCTTGCCAACTCCTAATGTGAAGAATGAAATACTATGCGTCTGCTTTAATTAACTACCTTATGTAATTATTTAAACCATACTCATTTGCTTGTTTTTATGACAAAGAGGAAAGTGTGTTTCTTATATATTTTATTTCAACATTTTGGTCTGAAATAAAAACAATTATAATAATAATTAAGGAGTTAATTACGGAATTTTCCGTTTGTTGTGGTTTCCACAACATGTTCAGAATTGTTAGGATGCATAGCTGTTGCACACATTATTTATAAAACATGCTATAAACCCTGAATGGACATTAATTACTACTGGAAACTGTATATGAGATGTAAGTGGTCATTGTGGACTTAAACTGCAGTGCCAGATATAAATCAGTATTATGTGTGTTTTGGAAGATAAACCACTGGTTAATGGGTCTAGAGTTGCTGTGTGATTCTTTTAGGACTGTTAATACTTTTCCTGTGGGAACAGGATATTAACATGCAAAATTGGATATCATACAACTCCAGAAGAGTCTGGAGATCAATTGTAAAGATCCCTATGTTTCTGACACCCATGTGATCTCCCCTTGCTTCTTAATCATTATGTTTAAACAAATGTTTTTATCTAAATATCTGTTCTTGCCAATAGTGAACTATTAAAAAAAACTTTGATATTTTTATTGTTATTTCTGTACTCATAAAGATTGTAAATATTCAATAACCAATTAAATTAAATGGAATTAATTTAATAGCTGACTGTTAACTCTTATTTTCAAGTAATTAAATCTCTAAAATACAATGGTGGTAAAATGTTGCTTTTGAATATACAAGAATCAAAATGCTTATTAATGTTCCCTTTGTCAGTTACAAAAGCTAAGGCTTAGATAGGTTTGCATAATCATATGCATTAATCAAGTATGTCTCTAGATTTAAATTAATACATTGATGTTTCCTGTATGGAGGCTTCTAAAATACTTTGTGAATTATCTCGCTGTTTTGCCAGCTCTCTGCAGTGAAGAAACACATAGACAGGATGAATGAAGGCCAGCAGAGTCAGGACAGTCAAGATGATGTTCACCTACAGAAACACAGTAGAATTTACTAATTACAGTAAAAGCAGTGAAAAACAAATTAATGATTATGGTCAATTTACACACAAGGAATTAAAACTAACTGAATATTTAATCAAATGCGACTGAAAATTTATATGGAGAAATCATTTATATGTTTTTTACATTTGATGTGAAAAACTCACTTTTATAGGCTTTTTTAGTATTTATATAGTTTTAGTAACCATATAATCTTGTTGCAGGTATAGTATGGAAGAACATTTCTGCCACATACAGTATCTAATAATTTTTTATTAGAACTAACGCCACACAGCATGTTTGTCTTAAAACAAAATCATTCTTTGGACATAATTAGTCAAAATTATGATATACTAAGTCATAATTATGAGATAAAATATGAGATTATGAGATAAAAGTCATAAATGTGACATAAGAGTCAAAACTGAGGCAAAAAGGATTCTGATAATAATTATGTCAGAAAAACTGCCGTTTTATATCACAATTTTTATCACATCATTTCAGCTTTTTGACTTCAGTTTTTTTTAATCAGAAATGGGCTTCCATAGGAATCAACACCTAGCCGCCCCAAAAAGTATTGAAACCTCAAATGGACACACTTAAAATATATGAATTTAATTAAATTAGATAACAAAATATCAAATCAAGTTCAATCTGCAAAGAAATAATGCTAGACCTTTTCTCAGAACTAACTTTACATTAACTAAATACTTGTTCTACTAATATTTGTGACCTTTGTATCTCAGTATATTGTTTAATTACTTAAAACCTCCTTTTGTAAAAATGTCCTTGCTTTCAAAGTGTGCTTGTGCTATATTTATTTAAAATAAATGTCACTTGGTTTGATTTTTTGTCATATAATTCGATGACTTTCATACAAGTGTACAGAAACTTTTGGGGCCACTGTATGTATATGAGCTCTTTGTAGTGGTGTGGTGTGGGAATCATAGATTGGGAACAGTGATGTGGGAATTATAGATTTACACAGAAGGGGTCTCCTTCAAGAACTTTGTTGAGGGCGAAGCAGGGATACTGCAGCAATGATACCACAGCTGATAGAGACATCACTAGACCATACATCTTTCCAAAATGACGGGCAGGAAACCTGTAGGAATTCAGATTCATTGCACTCACTTAAGTAAAGATTCCAGTCTAGTGGCAATCGAGATAGTTATATCACCAGATTTACTTACGCTATGCTGATGAATGCAGCATTCCCTCCATACAGAAAAGAGCGATTAAGGACCTGAAGGATGAATGTGACATACTGGAGAGGGAGGAACGGAATGCTTGCACAAATGGAGAACAACAGGCACTGCAGAGAGGTGAGGAGGAGAGACAGAACGGATGAGTGCAGGTCTGCTTCCCATTCTGACACACCTACAAAAAATACAGGGTGGGAATGAGAAAGAAAAATGGTAAAGAAAGCGTACTCGGTTACTAACGTAACCTCGGTTCCCTGAGATACGGGAACGAGTACTGCGTCGCTAGACACTTATGGGGAAAACTCCTTTTTCTCCGATCACTGAAGCCTTTTTCAATAACGCAGTGTAGTTGCACAACCATTGGTTCGTGCAGTGAAATAAAAACGAACCAATGGCTCGGCAGCGGAGCTGCACAAGCCTATGGTGATGAAGCCCGCCAGAATACGTGGGGCCATCTGGCTATGTAAGCAGGCATTTCACCATAGGATCCTCAGGTAAATTCGACTGAAGCAACGACACTGAGCCGTGCAGCATCATAGCATGGCTAACAACGCAGTACTCATTCCCGTATCTCAGGGAACCGAGGTTAAGTTAGTAACCAAGTACATTCCCTTTTGATACTTCACTCGTACTGCGTCGCTAGATGCTTATGGGGAACCAGTACAATCCTGCCATGCTATGATAGAGGAACGACTAAAATTAACTGGCCTTGAGCATCTAAGAGCTCAGAGGAACCAAGTATAAGCAGGGTGAACACCGCAGGAGGCAAGAGCAGCCTTGAATAATCGTTCCAAACAATCCTATACAGCCTCGGCACTTTTAAAAAGGGTCAAAAGCATACATGAAGTAAAGCAGATGCCAGATTGGACCTGCTTTTTGGAAGTTGCATGCCCATTTAAGCAGAGAGGATCTGAGCCTGTAAGGCCGGAATGTCCAAGTTATAGAACCTGGCAAATGTGGATGGCGAGGCCCAGCCGGCGACGCACAAATGTCTGCTATGGACACAATGCTAGACCACGCCCAAGACGAGGCTACGCCCCGTGTAGAGTGGGCTCTTACTCCTAGGGGGCCCTGCAGGCCCAGGGAGGAGTATGCTAACGCAATAGCGTCAACTAACCATCGAGAAATTCTCTGCTTTGTGACCGTAGACCCTTTGGTGTAGCCACCGAAGCATACAAAGCGTTGTTCTGACTGCCTGAATGGGGCGGAACGCTTGATGTAAATTCTCAGTGCCCTGACAGGACAGAGAAAGTCTCCTGGTCCTCCGCCGAAGGAGGAAGCGCAGAGAGAGTGATAACCTGTGCTCTAACCAGGGTGTAAAGCGCTTTGGGAACATATCCATGCCTTGGCTTTAGGACGACCTTGAAGTCGCTAGGCCCAAACTCAATGCAGGCAGGCCTTATAGAGAGCGCCTGCAAGTCACCTACTCGCTTAACTGATGCCAATGCCAGTAGCAGAGAAAAGCATAAAGGAGGAGGTTGGGCCAGTCGTGGGCCAATGCGTCCTCGTTCTTCAAAAAATTAATTCAGCAGTGAGAGTTGTCTTTTGAGGCAAAGAGGTCGACCTCTGCCAAAGATCTCCCAGATTTTCTGAACTGTTTGTGGATGGAGCATCCACTCCTCTGAGGGGACATTGCTCCGAGATAACATGTCTGCTCCCTGGTTCGATACGCCCGGCACATGTACTGCCCTCAATGAATGCAAGTTGAGATGTGCCCATTCCAAGAGGTGTTTTACCATCTCGAAGAGGCATTTTGAGGTGAGCCTGCCTTGGCGATTTATATAAGATACCACTGGCATGCTGTCTGAGCGGACTAGCACGTTGTTTTTCCTTCAGGTCTGGTAAGAAGGTCTGAAGGGCTCAACATACTGCCTACATTTCGAGGCAGTTGATGTGTAGCCAACCTTCTTTGTCTGACCAGGAGCTGAAAGTCGGTTTGCCCTTGTACAGAGTTCCCATGAGGCCATGAGGCCTAGCATCTTTTGAAACGTTTTGAGAGGGCGAGAGGCTCCCATTTTGAAGGAAGCCACAAGCTGTTGTAGGACCCTTGCGCGTTCTGGTGCGACTATTGAAAACTGCTCCCAGGAATGAGTTTTGTTGGCTGGAAAACAGTGAGCTCTTGGAAAATTGACCCTGAGACCCAGGCACTCTAAGTGGCTGAGGAGGAGGGATCTGTGAGATATTATCTCAGCCTCCGACTGGGCTAGGATGAGCCAGTCATCGAGGTAGTTCAGAATGCGGATTCCCATCTGTCTCAGAGGGGAGAGAACAGCATTCATGCACTTCATAAAAGTGCGAGGAGCCAGGGACAGTCCGAAGGGAAGGAATCGGCGAATCTCAAGAATCGTCTGTGATGGAGAGCTATCTGGATGTGAAAGTAAGCGTCTTTCAGGTCCAGAGAGAAGAACCAATCCCCTGGCCATATTTGCAAGAGAATCTGTTTCAAAGTAGTCATCCTGAATGGTCGTTTCATGAGGGCGCGGTTCAGGTGCCTGAGATCGAGGATGGGCCGGAGGCTGCCATCCTTCTTGGGGGCACGGAAGTAATGGCTAGAAGCCTGACTCGCTCTGAGCTGGCGGAACCGTCTCTACAGCTCCTTTTGCCAGTAAATTCATCATCTAGGAGTGCAGGACGTGAGCGTTCTTGCTCTGCACTAAGGTTGGAACCATGCCGCTGAATCATGGGTCTCGGCTCATGTGGCTAGGTGTTGGATTTGTTCGGGTGGTGGGTCACCGTGAGGGGACTTGGCACTCGTGATAAGTGGAAGGGGAAATTTGCTCTCTTTTTGAAAATGTTTGTGTTTTATTTTTCTCGCTATCCATATTTGCAAGAGAATCTGTTTCAAAGTAGTCATCCTGAATGGTCGTTTCATGAGGGCGCGGTTCAGGTGCCTGAGATCGAGGATGGGCCGGAGGCTGCCATCCTTCTTGGGGGCACGGAAGTAATGGCTAGAAGCCTGACTCGCTCTGAGCTGGCGGAACCGTCTCTACAGCTCCTTTTGCCAGTAAATTCATCATCTAGGAGTGCAGGACGTGAGCGTTCTTGCTCTGCACTAAGGTTGGAACCATGCCGCTGAATCATGGGTCTCGGCTCATGTGGCTAGGTGTTGGATTTGTTCGGGTGGTGGGTCACCGTGAGGGGACTTGGCACTCGTGATAAGTGGAAGGGGAAATTTGCTCTCTTTTTGAAAATGTTTGTGTTTTATTTTTCTCGCTATAACAGTGACTGTTTGTGTGGGCGCTTTTTGAACGGACCCAGTGCTCACAACAGTATTTATGACAAACAAACTACCGTCGGCTCCCGGAACTGAACAGGGTGCTTGGAGGCATAACAGAGGCTGCTTGGGTGGTGGTCTGGCGATAGCAAGATTTGCCTCCTCCTCTTCCGGTCCAGTGGATCAGGATGACGCCTGAGGCACAGAATCCAGCGTTAGCTTGGGCCGGGGTCCTTGGCGCTTCGGGAATGGATAGCATCTAGCCGAGTGGGAGCGCTGTTGAGGCTCAGGCTTCTGAGTAGGCTGAACGGGAGACAGCACAGGTTTTGCTGGCTGCTGAGTCGGTGCAGGTCTAAGTCTACTGGTTGCAGTTGCAGAGCTGAAGCGCTTAGGCAAGAAGTGTCGCATTGCCTGGGACGACTTCTGCGCAGTGGTAAAGTGCTCTGCAAATCCCTCGACGGCGGGTCCAAACAGCCCCATAGGGGAGACTGGGGAGTCAAGGAAAGGAACCTTGTCAGCCTCTTTGATCTCCGTGAGGTTTAGCCATAAGTGGCGCTCCAGCACAATTTTGTGAGCTCGTTGTGGACCTCCGTGAAGAAAGGAGAGGGCCAGGAACCATTCATCCAGACGGCTACTAGTGGGCCCCTCTGGCGCAGACCACTCCAAACCCAGCTCCTCAACCGCCTTAGAGAGGACACGGAATAGTTTGGCGTCCATCCCTAGTTTGGTGTCGCTAGGATCCGCAGACGGCAAAGGTCGACCGTCAAGCCCAACAAATGATCTGTGTCTGATGCTGCTAGAGACATGCTGTCATCTAGGAGATCGTCCTTGATTCTGACAAACGAGACCATGTCGCTCGCACTAGCTGAGGGACACTGGTCTGTGTGCACGAAGAGGATGGGAGAGTCATCTCTGCAAGGTGAGAGCAAGGCACGCAGGGCCTGGGCCAGCGTGAGCTTGCTCGCAGCCGGGTGTTGAGTTCCTCTGCCCTGCTGTTTTTCCTCACAGGTCACTGGGAGGAAGAAAACGGGAGGGTGCGAGGGGCAGATTCACTCTCTGAAAAGAAATCGATCTGAGCACGCAGAGAGGTGAGACTCATGTTCTCACAGTGGATTCTGTGTGAGACTTGCCCAGACAGGAAACACACTCTGAATGGCCATCATCAGCATGCAGTGAAGTCCTGCACAAGCTGCAATGACGGCGCGGCATTTGCAACAACGCTGTGAATTTGCTCTTTTGAGAAATTTGGCTCCACTGCCGAGCCATTGGTTCATTTTTCATCACTGCGTGATTGAAAAAGGCTTCAGTGATCTGAGAAAAATGAGTTTTTCCCCATAAGCGTCTAGCGACGCGGTACGAGGGAAGTATCAAAAGGGAACAGACCTTCACATTTTTCTTTCAACTGACCTAGATCTAGGGGTTTTCTTTTGTGTCTGTCCATTAGCAGTCCATTCCAGGGAGCACAGAGAACTCCACAGAACTGGGTGAAAGCAAACGCATTGGTGTACTCACTCACTGAGAATGAAAAAGAGATAAAGAAGTCTCAGTCAAACTCTATAACCTCTGCAGCGATCACAGTAAGGCATTTGAAAATGATCCTACTGGTGCTGTCAATCAGAATTGCACTGACAACTGAAAATCCAATTCCATTCCTGAATTTTGACTGGTATAGCAAAGAGGATGCAGAACTGTAGATTATTATTTATTTAAGGGAGTAGAATTAAAATGGAATTAAATTCATGTTGTAAATGTGGTTTTTAACAAGAAAAAAAAATCTGTCAGTTAAAATTATCCATAAAAATGATCCTACACACAACAGATGGAATATTTTCAGAAATATATGATTATATTAATAATCCATTTTTTAAATGTCACTAACATAAAGTTTTATTTTTATTTATTTTGTATTTTAATTGTAATGTTTTATATTTTTTTTAATAAGTAATTTATAAATATTTAATATAATAATTTACATCAATTAAGAATGCTTTAATTTACCGCAAAGTCTGATATGTAATTGTGTTAAATGCCTTTGAATTCAGTAAATTCCTTCTCTTGACATTCCAAATTTCTTTTGCTCAGTAAAAATTACCAATGAAAATGATCATACACACACCATAGGTTATATAGAAATATAATATTATATTAATAATCAGTTGTGGAAATATTATTAATAGATTTTTTTTAACTGATCTACATTTAATATATTAATTATATAATTTAAATATATCTATCTATACATATACAATATATTAATATATATTCGTTTATGGGCCATACTGCAAAATCTCTTCATTACACAGAGTGTTTTAAATCCAAGTCTAATGTGTGATTGTATTGAATGTCTTTGAATTCAGTAAATTCCTCCTCCTGTAATTCAAATTCCAGTTGATTTTATGAGCTGAGAAACTCCTAACATAAACAAAGAATTCACAGAATTCACTGAAATGCATCATAATAGTGAGAAAAATTTGTTTACCAATGTCTGGGTCTTGGTTGGCCAGTCTGTTGAGCATTGGATTCAGAGTTCCAATGAAGAAATAGTGCCGCAGCTGCATGACTGACAGCCATATGAGGTGCCACAGGAAGAACCAGGACAGAACACAGCTCCTAAAACTGTCTATAGTGGAAAAAATTCAAAGAAAAAACTTTATTTCAGTCAGTTTATTTGAACCATTCATTGAAAAGAAATGTTTCCATAACCAGGCAGTGTCTACCAAAGTAAGAGCTATGCTGGTCAAGCAGCACCTTTCTCAGAGTTGTCTGTTAGTTGTAGCGTGTCAGTCTCCAGTGGCTCATCAGCTACACCTCTGCCTCTGTCTGAACTCGGGCCTCGCTCTGCCTCATACTGTTCAACGTTGTAGCTATGTGATTTAGCACAGCTCATCCTGTAAATAAGGATTTGCATTTGAATTAATATGGATAAGAGCATGAATTATGTACTATACGTAGTTAAGGCTATATCAGATTTACTACATACTAAATATAGAGTATATATTAGGGCTGCAAAACGATTACTCATGATTAATCGCATTCAAAATAAAAGCTTTTGTCTAAATACTGTGTGTACTGTGTATATTTATTATGTATATATAAATATACAGGCATATATGTATATATTTTAACAAATATTTATATGTATATATATATATTTATACTTGTATATAATTTATATTATATATAAATATAAATATTTTATATATAAATCTAACATATTTTTCCCTAATATGTATATGTGTGTATTTATATATACATAAAAAAATATACACAGAACACACATATAGTATGCAAACATTAATTTTTATTTTAAATCTTTGCAACTAAAGCTGAATTTTCAGCATCATTACTCTAGTCTTCAGTGTCACATGATCCTTCAGAAATCATTCAAATATGTTGATTTGCTCCTCATAAAATGTTTCTTATTATTATTATCAATGTTGAAAACAGGGGTCCTGCTTGTCCATGCTTTTGTGGAAATCATGATACTTTTTTTAATTATTTGATGAATAAAAAGTTTAAAAGAACAGCATGTATTTAAAATATAAATATTTTGTAACAATGTAAAAGTCTTTAGTGTCGCTTTTGATCAATATAATGCATCTTTGCTGACTAAAATAATTAATTTCTGACCCAAAACCTTTGAACTGTTGTTTATTCAGCTTATACTCAGCTTATCGTTTCACTCACCCATATTTGTAGTCGTCTGGGATGGGATAGGGAATGTGTGATTTTGGCATAAGGAAAAGAGTCCGGAGGAGATGAATGAGATTACAGGCTAAGAGGAAGAGAAATGAGGAGCGAAGAGAAACCCCTCTCTCACACAGCACCTTCAAAAATTGTTATACAGGGTATCATAGATTGCAGTATGATAAACAGATGATAAACTCTTTTTTTAAATCACTGTGGATCAAATATAGAACTATTCAATGCATTTTATATATACAGTATCTCACAGAAGTGAGTACACCCCTCACATTTTTGTAAATATTTTATTATATCTTTTCATGTGACAACACTGAAGAGATGACACTTTGCTACAATGTAAAGTAGTGAGTGTACAGCTTGTATAACTGTAAATTTGCTGTCCCCTCAAAATAACTCAACACACAGCCATTAATGTCTAAACCGCTGGTCACAAAAGTGAGTACATCCCTAAGTGAAAATGTCCAAATTGGGCCCAATTAGCCATTTTCTCTCCCCGGTGTCATGTGACTCATTAGTGTTACAAGGTCTCAGGTGTGAATGGGGAGCAGGTGTGTTAAATTTGGTGTTATCGCTCTCACTCTCTCATACTGGTCACTGGAAGTTCAACATGGCACCTCATGGCAAAGAACTCTCTGAGGATCTGAAAAAAAGAATTGTTGCTCTACATAAAGATGGCGTAAGCTATAAGAAGATT